GCTTCGGCTGCACGCGTTAACTACACTGGGAATGGCGTAGGGAGACATAAACTAAGATTTCATTTTCAAGATGGAAAGTCCATCCGACTCAGCTGTGATTTTACCTAGCACTCCACAGGCCTGCGACAGTCTACCATCTATCTGTACAAGTAGTTCAAGAAAACAACCTATGAGCGCAACACTTAGAGAACCACTAAGGAAAACTAGATCTTCATTTAATTCCTGTTCCAGTGTGGTATAGCATCTTAAACTGGAAAATGAAGAAAATAAGGCCTTTTCAGAAAAACCATCTTAAACAGAGAAAACTATTTGGAATTTCGAGAAAGTATTAAACGTACAGACAATGAATCTGAAGAAAATACATATTTAAAAAATACCTTCAAGAATATCAATGTATGCGAATCTAAGCCAGTTGATACTAGTCCTGCAGTGATCTCCAGGATGACTTTGTGAATGAGAATCTTCCCAAAAAAGAATTAAATGAAGAAAAAGCAAAATTGGTGAAGCAGATTCAGGAGAAAGAAGACCTTTTTCGGAGACTAAAACTAGTCAAAATGTATAGATTAAAGAATGACCTGTCTCAGTTACAGTTGTTAATAAAGTGGAGCTGTAGCCAGCTGTTGCTTTATGAGTTGCAGTCAGTTACATCTGAGAACAAGAAACTCAGCCTCAGTTGATAGACCAGTATGGATTAGATGATAAATTGCTACACTTTAATAGAAGTGAAGAAGAATTTATAGATGTTTAATTCATAATTCTTTCAAGAATATCTTTGAGAATGACACCTTAAAAGATATTACATATTTTAAATGGAAGGTATAAACTATGAGGGCTTAGAGAAAGGTATCTTGATGAACATCAATTTAGGGCCTCATAAAAATATAAACTAATTTCTAAAGTGAAAATTTAGTATTTTGGATAAATCTGCAAAAGAAAACTTTACGTTTAAAGTAATGTAGAAAAAAAGTTTAAATCATGTTTAAAAAAATAATTTGGGCAATTCTGGAAGTCAGTTTTAATACATTGTTTTGTTTATTGTGGTAAAAAAAAAGTTTTATTTTAAATGTTAAAAAGTAGTCCAGTTTGGCGAATGTCTAAACCAAAACTGATCCAAAAATGCCTGCATCTCTCCTAAGTTTATGAACCTTGTTTCCATCTATTTACCACGTTTACATGGGGATGGTCTAGTGGGTAACTAAACTCCTATGTCCAAAAAAACCCCAGAATATTTGCATGGCCTTAAAATGCCCTCCCACAGATTGCTTAATTGCAAGAGGGGCATGGAAAAGTAACCATATTGTAGAAAAATCAGACAACACTTTGGGTGATCAAAATTAGTATCACAAAGCAGGGGCAGATGGACATCTTGTGCCTCTGGATGTGATATCTAAAATATTCAATATTACTTAAGTAGTATTTCCAATTGGGAATGCAGAACTGGAATCTAATCATGAAGGTACATCAAACCCAAAATAAGGAATATTCTATTCAAAAGGAGAATGAATTATTTTAGAATGTTAATTTCTTAAAAGATCACGAAAGAGTGACAAACTTCTAAATTAAAGGAAACTAGAGTCATAACAATTAAATGCAATACCTCCCCCTAGAGTTGACACTGTACTGACAGAGGAAATGCTATAAACATTTTGGATTAATTGATAAAATTGGATTACAGACAATACAGTAGATAGAACACTATTACATAAATTGAAATTGGTAACTGTACTGTGCTTACATAAGAGAAGATCCTTATTATAAACACATTAAATTAGGAGTAAAGGAACATGATATATGTAATTTATTCTTAACTGGTTCAGAAAAAATATGTACATATTAATATAGAAAGAACAAGTTAAAACAAAGGGAGCAAAAATCCTAACAGGTATATCTGAGGTAAAGGATATATAGGTGTTATTTGTGCTATCCTTATTCTGGCAGGTTTTTGAAATTTTGACATTATTTCCAAATAAAATGTTAAAAGACAAATGTATGAAATATTTAGAAAACAAAAAAAAAGTTTAACTCAAATATATACTAAAACATTAGCAAAAATAAAAATTAAATCATCTTCACTGTACAATAAAAGACAAGAAAGTATAGGGACTTTAAAAAATTGTCTAAGCAGTTACATTTATATTCAAGAAATACATACTTATTATTATAAACATAAACATAATATAAAACATGACAGAAATCTGTTATGTCATGAGGAAAGTTAAAAAATATAAGGTAAAATTAAATTTAGATCCTTATTTTATTTAAAAAAATGACTCCAGAAATAGTAATATTTCTATAAATTTGAACAAATGGGCACATGTATATTTAAGAAATTGGGTAAAGGAGCAATTTAAAATGCTATAGATTACATATACAAAATAATAATCTAATATATATGATATGTATGGTGACTTGATTATAAAATATAAATTTGCTTGAATTTAAACATGAACTATATGGTGATTTTAATTTAGAAACCACATAAATCCCAACAAAGCAATAAATGATGTTGACCAAAGGTGAAATGAATTTAAGCAATATAGGTATGTATGTATGCACAGGCAGATATATATTTAAATGGACATAAGTGGCTTTACACTTAATAATATATTATGGACACATTCCAATGAAAATCAATTATAGACCAGCATCATCATATTTAATGGATACAGATTGCACTATAGGAATATACCTAAGTTAACTAATTTTATAAAAATACTTTGGACAAATGCACTGGACATTTATCTTTCTCATACATTTATGCATAATGATGATTTGCCTAAGAGAATTGTATAGAAATCAGATTGCCAGTTGAAAGGGAATGCCTATTAAAATTAGTGTGTATGTGTGTATAAAAATCACATATATATGCACTGTCCCAAAAACAATGGAAATTTTAAACTCATCAACAGCTCTACAAGTTTCCATCACAGTCATATAAAACTGTTTTCATCTCATTCCCTATGTCAGCAACCTGTCACATTGCTGATCACTCCCTTATTCCAGAGAGCAGAAATTTGATTTCATGACTCTAAATATCATTCTCTTCTCCTATTTTCTTGCTCCATCTGAGACAGTCATATCATCTTCACCATTTTTCTTTTGTAACCCCAGGCACTGTATCTACTCTATGGGTCACATCCCTGTGTGTCAGGGTAATATTACATTACCCAGTATCTTTTTATCTTCACCATTTTATTTTGCTTAATGAACCTTTGCCTCTTGGGCAAAATGCAAGGCATCTCAAGGACATCTAGGGAGTACTTTTATAGAAGAATCAGTTGAACAAAATCCAAAAATCTCAGTGCTAGATTTACAAATGCAATTTCCAGCTGCTCCTTCCCAAGAAACTGAAAAAACAGGTTACCTGGCAAAGCCAGTTTCTCTGCTCACCCTTGACTGAATGAGTGTGCATTTGCTGAGTGAACAGGAAGTAGATGAGGGCCAGGGGAGGATCCTGGCCATGGTAACTTCCATTTTTCCTACACCCCTCTAGGATTATCACCTCACAATCTATGTGCCCTCAATCTTCCATGATAGTCCCTGAGTGAGAAAACTGGAACAATGTAACCAAATTCTATAACAGCAATAGAGACTATAATAACATACAGATAACATGAAAAATAATGAAAATAGTTGTCCTTAAGCTTGAGACCAACTGCTGCCAAGTGGTCATTCCAGCTGTACTCAAACCAGTTCTACTCACGAGTTCACAATTCACACTATTCATGGGAGACAAATAGCAGAACTGATAGGGAGCTCCATGCACACCTAGCAAGCAGAAATTTTTGCTAGGGTGTGTGCCCAGTAAAGTGGGTGCTTTGATCACTCTCAATTACTTGTGGTTGACCATAGGCTGCAAAGAAACATTGTAGACCTCTTTTGGTTGTTCAGTGGTCTGCACGACGTGAAGGAAAAACCAGAAGCCCAGCAGCAGTGTCCACACATCATGACATATTGATACCCTTCTGACATGGGCAGAGGCCCAATATAGTCTGCCACCTGACGAGATTATCAGACCCACAGCTATCATCCCAGGTTGCTGTGGGACTTCGTGTGCCTTTTACAGCACACAATGCACTCCTGTGAGGCTCTGCTGACTTCTTCAAAGGTCAAAGGCAGGCCCCACCAATGGGCTATAGCCCACATTGTCTTCTGCTCCACATGCCACAAATGTTGATGTAACCACTGGGCCACATCAGAGGCAGGCTTTCCTTCTAGCTAATATACCTGGACCAATTCATCTGCTTCATCATTTCCTGGGGATGCTAGTGGCAAATGGCCTGTCACATAATATACTGTAACTGTTTTAGTCTAACCACAGACCCAGAAGTGTTGCCACAAGCCTTGGTGAACAACCATCCAGTTGTCATGGCACCAGGTGAGTAGCCAGAGTCAAGCCTCACTAGACAGCCCAGCAGTCAGTGCAGACAGCTACTGGGGAGGGCTCCTGGGTGATCACAAGCCACACTTTCTGCAATTCTGCCCATTGACTACTCTTCCCCTCACCAGCTTCAATCCATATTTTTAGGATAGAAAGCTACAGCCCTCCATTCTGGGGATGGCCCAGGGCTGGAGCCATCTGTATACCATGCATCTTTGGGTACAGAGGCTTTTCCCTCTCAGTAAAGGCTGTTACTAATGCCTCTAAAATAAATTCTTCCGGCCTTTCACTGGTATATGTCACTGGACCCAAGAAGCATTGTTCTTCACTCAAGGGGCTAGTAGAGAGGGCACTACACTGCTGTAAGTATGCACTCCATTTGGCCAGTGTAGACTTCTGTGCCATGCCACTCCATAGCTCTTGGGTCCAGTCAGAGCTCTACAAGGCAAGCCACCTCAGATCACATGCTCACTGGGGGGATACTTGAATGTCTCCCCATCCACAGGGGCAGCATGCTGAAACACCCCTCCCATGAGGGCAGCCTGTTCTCTTCTTCAATCTTGTGAATCCTGCCAACTACGTCAATTGTCTTGCCTGAGGGTTTTGGCCCCGGCAAGTTCATTATGGATTCAGTGAGACTGAGAAATGACAACAGAACGTTGTTGGGGTACAAGGATTTATACCCAGCTTTATTCTCATGGCTAGGTTGAGCACTAGAGTCATGTCTGCATACAGAAGTTCATAGGTCCGTAATCCACCTCCATCTCTGCCTCTGCTGAGTGGAGTGCTTTATATAGTGACTCAGTCAGTAACAGCTCATTGCCAGTGGGTGTGGAAACATTAGCCCAGCAGTAGGACAATGACATCATCAAGTTGTTTAGGGTCAGGTGAGGATCCTGGACCGAGGAACTTCCATTTTCCCCACAACCCCCTCCCACACACTTACACATTGAAATTGGATCCTGGAACCCAAACAGAGTTATATTACGATTACTGCTGTGTATAATACAATTATTTTTGTGTATCTATGAGAAAAAACACACTGCAGGAACCAAGATTACATCAGACATGGTTTTTGTCAAGTCTCTTATTCTCTGAAGGTTAGACAGACAGACATTAAGAGACAAGCTCTCGTATTGTTTCAGTAACATCCAGGTTACCTTGGAAGGAGTATTCAAGTATACTTAGGAAATGACAAAATAGTCTCCATCCCTAATTTCAAACGATTTCGAAGTAGTCCATCAAGCTACCTGAGAGATCTTCCACAACCCACCATCCCCTCTATGGAAAGCCAGAGGTCCTGAAAACAGGTAGCAGTTCTTTAGGCGGACTAGAAATTCTGACTCTTACCATTAGCCTCGTAAACACATGTAAGATGTCTCCACTTTGGTATCTGGCGATGGCTGACTTATTACTAAAGCCAGAGGCCTGAGTGTGACTTCTGGTGTCTCATGAAGTCCTAACTCTTGATTAAAGATTTTACTAATTCCCTGTACACATAAGGTTCCTATCCTGAGGGTGTCCTCTGATGTCTGATGAGGTTTGATCTCCGACTAAATCCTCGCCCACACTTCCTACAAATATATAAGGTTTCTCTCCTGAATGTATCTTCTGGTATCTACTAAGGTGTGACTGCCAGCTAAAGACTTGCTCACACTCCCTGCCCTCATGAGGCTGCCCCCGAGTGTGCCCTCTGGTGTACAATGAGAGTTAACTTATCACAAAAACCTTGCCCACACTCCCTACACACAAAGGGCAAATCAACTGTATGTGCCCTCTTGTGCCTAAACAGGTTTGGCTTCTGGCTAAACCTTCTTCCACATTCCCTGCATATAAAAGGCTTTTCCCCAGAATGCATCCTCTGGTGTGATATGAGAGTTGACTTACCATTAAAGCCTTGTCCACACTCCCTGCACACAAATGGCTTCTCCCCTGTGTGTGTTCTCTGGTGTGTGATGAGGGTTGATTTCCGAGTAAAGCCTCGCCCACATTCCTTGCATACAAACAGCTTTTCCCCTGTGTGTGACCTCTGGTGTTTGTTCAGGTTTGACTTTAGGCTAAAGCACTGCCCGCACTGCAGGCACACATAAGGTTTAACCCCTGAGTGTGTCTTCTGGTGTGCCATGAGGCTTGATTTCCAGCTAAAGTGACGCCCACATTCTGTGCATATATAAGGCTTCTCTCCTGTGTGTGTTCTTAAGTGCCTAATGAGGTGCGATTTCTGGCTAAAGCCTTGCTTACACTCCCTGCACACATAAGGCTTCTCTCCTGAATGTGTCCTTTTGTGTTGGGTGAGGTGTGAATGCTGGCGAAAGCCTCGCCCACATTCACTGCAAACATAAGGCTTCTCCCCAGAGTGTGTCCTCTGATGGTTGAAGAGGTTTGATTTCCACGTAAAGCCTCGTCCACACTCCCTGCACACATATGGCTTCTCTCCTGAGTGTGTCCTCTGGTGCATGATAAGTTTTGACTTCCAGATAAAGCCTCGCCCACACTCCCTACAAACATAATGCTTCTCTCCAGAGTGCGTCCTCTGGCTGTTTATGAGGGTTGATGTACTGCTAAAGCTTTGTCCCCCCTCAGTGCACACATAAGGTGTCTCCCCTGTATGTGTGCTCTGGAGGCTGAACAGGTGTGACTCCTTGATAAAGTACAGCCCAAACTCCCCATATTTGACTGCTCCAAATCCTGAAGCCTCTAAGTCATGCAATATATTATCTGCTTCCTCAAGTTCTGCCTTCTGGTCTCGGCTGGGTCTGACACCCACCATGGTGCTATCTTCCTGGGGCCTTGCTGGCTGTCCTCGTGGTGGGCAGGGGAGTGCCTTGGAAATGCTTCTGCTTCTGCTCCCAGAAAGGGGTCTGGAGCCTTTTCTTTCTTGAATTTCTATTCTGTTGCTCAAGCAGACTTGCTCAAAGACTTGCTCCTGCTGCTGTTTTAGATCTTCTGGATAATGTTTCTCTGGATGGAGATGATTTCCTGCACAGAAACTTGAGAATAGCTGAGGGAGATGACTGAACCACACATATTGGCTAAAGGCTTGTTGACTAGAGAAAACCAGAGGGCAGGAGGGACAAGGTTGAATTTCCAGCTTTGGTCCTGCCAAAGAAAGAATGTTGGTCAGAATAGTCATATTTAGGGCCGCCTAGGCCATTTTGCTTTGCCCGTTGGTCATTCATTACATATTTATACCAAAAGCTGTCTCCCACCCACATATCCTTGAGTTTATCAAAAGATCTATTTTTCATTTTACTTTATACATTATGTTTTTAATTATAGGAGTTAGCAAACTTGCCCAGTGGGTCAAATAAAGGCTACAACCTGTTTTCAAATGGTCCACTAGTTAAAAATGATAAGAGTTGAAATACAAATAAATAATTAAAAAAACAATATGACAGATTACATGTGGCCTGGAAAAGCTTATTAAAGTATTTACTGTGTGGCTCTTCATAGAAAAAGTTTGTTGACCCCTGTCCTACTGCAATGTAGGAAACCTATACCAAGGACTTATTTTCATATTCTCCCCCAAAAAAGTTAAGTTTCAGAAATCAACCAAAAACATACAATAAATTGAGAAGTGTTCAGTTATGAAAAATTCTGAACTTTAGGTAAGACCATTGGGAGACTGTGGCACGATTGCCTAGAGCTGCTCTCACCCTTCCAATCCCCCAACTTGCTTGGTACAGCAGTTATTTCAGGGCGGACCACAAAATAATCAGTTCTGCTGCTGCTGTAGGGGGCTAACTTAATTTGAATGGAAGACGAGACACCAACGCCTAGTGTAACTGTCAATAAAAGTAGTCATCTAAGCAGTAAATGAACAGGGAAGGCCAGTGACTGAGGCTGGGTTGCAGTCTTGGCTGGGACAAAAAAAAAACAGAACAAAAACTGGTAGACTATCCAGATATGCAGCAGGGAGACCCTAAAAATGAGAGAACCAGAGAGAGACTTGATAAAGTCTACACATTCCTGGCTGACTGGAAGGCTCTTGGCAAAAGCAGGCAAGATTAATGGGAGCCCAAGCTATGCACATATCCCTGTCTGATATGGAGGCTACAATTACATGCAGAGGAAAAATGAAAGTGATCAGGAGAAAGCAAAAAGCTAGAAAAGACTTGAAAATGTGACTGTTGAATGGGCTCCCCAAACCACACACTTATCCATTGGCAGAGGCAGGAAGCCTCATTGGCTTGAAGTCTTTGAACACAACCCACAGCCCATCGCTGAAGACCACTAAGCTCTGTAGACACAAGGTTGAAATTAGGAAACCAGGATTAAAAAAGAAAAAAACACAAGAATAAAATAAAAATCAAGAAAAAACATTCCTTCACAGAGGAAACATACTCCACATATTTAATCTAGAAAAGTGACTTAATGAAAAACAACAATAATAATATTCAGGCACAAAATATAAACCGACATTAGGGTTACAGTACAATATGCAAAATATCCAATTTTTGAAGAAACAGGAAAGAATGACTCATACTCAAGAAAAAAATGCACCCAATAGACACTTGCTGAGTTGGCCATGATGTTGATTGAGGGGGGAAAAAAGACTTCAAGGCTTACACCATGAACTTCTTCAAAGAGTTAAAGGAAACAATGTGTAAAAACTTAAAGAAAACTATGATAAATTTAAAAAATGGAGAATCTCACTAAAGAATAGAACCTATTGAAAAGAAACAAGAGGAAATTCTGGAATTAGAAAGTAAAATAACAGAAATTACAAAGTTACTAGAGAGATACAACAGCATATTTGAGTTTGCAACATAACTGTGAAGTTGAAAAGAAATTACTAAGAATGACCCAAACTAGAGAACAGAGTAAAAGCAAGACTGGGGAAAAACAAAAACAGAAACTTGTGGGATACCATCAGGCAAACCAACCTATGTGTAATGGGCGCTCAGGAAGGCAAAGACCAAGAGAAAAGAGCAGAATAAAGGTCTGAAGAAATAATGGATAAAAAGTCATATTTTGAATAAAAAACATTTGATGAGAAACATTAATCTACACATCCAAGAAGCTTGACAAACCCCAGGATAAACATAAAGAGAGTGGCAGCTAGACACATCACAGCCAGCTGACTATCAGAAAAAAAAGACAAAGAGACTATCTTGAAACCCACAAAAGAAAAATGACTCAACATGTATGGGGGAGGGGGGGAGGTGGGGCCAACACACAATATCACTGGGGCTAACTTCTTGTCAGAGACAATGGAGACAAGAAGGCACTGGAACTATTATTCAAAGAGCTAAAATAAAGGGGGGAAAACTACCAATGATAAATTCTGTTCTCTAAAAAAAGTATCCTTCAAAAATGAAACTGATGTAAAGATAGTCACAGATGAACAAGTACTCAGAATATCTGTTGTTAGCAAACATGATTTATGGGAAATACTAAATAAGACCTTCAGGCTGAAAAGAAATGACACTTCAGGCTGAAATATCCAGACACTAAATCAAATACACAGGAAGAAATGGGGACCACTAAAAGTGCTAAATATGTGGATAAATATAAAAGATCTACATACATTTATTTTTCTCCTTTCTTCCCTTAATTCCTCTAAAATACATGAGATTATTATAAAAGGCAATAATTACAGCACTCTACACTGTGTGCTTTATTATGTATATATGTATATTTATGTATATAAATGTGTACAATTTTTTAAACTGTAACTAAATATTAACTAAAAACAGATTGTAACAACTTAAGGTGCATATTTCAATTCCTGTAGCAGCATTAATGACTCTTTAAAAAATCGGTAAAGGAAATAGAGGAATAAAAAGATATGAGACAAAAATCAACAAAGTGGCAGACTTAAACCCTATAAATAAAGACATTAAATATGAACTGAACATTTAAAAAAAAAGAGAGATTTTGTACCCCTAAATTAGAATGTAATATCCAACAATGTGCTATGTACAAGAGACACATTTTGGATCTCAAAACACAAGTAGGTCGAAAGTAAAAGGATGAAAAAGATACATCATGTAAACAGTAATCACAAGGGAACTGGAATACTTGAATTAATAGCAGACAAAATAGACTTCAAGACAAGGATTATTGCTAGATAAAAAACAGGACATTTCATAAAGACAAAAGGGTAATCAGAAAACTAAAACAATCAAAATGAATATATATCTAAAAGTATATATACAAAACACAGGGAACAAAGAACTGAAAGAATTAGAAAATTCAACAATAATTAGAAATTTCAATATTCCATTATCAATAATAGATGGAATAATTAGAAAATAAGAGATATAGAAGACAATAACACAATCACCCAGCTTGACCAATTTGATGATGTGTGGTGGAACACTCTGTCCAATGACTGCAGAATACATATTCTTTTCAAATAAACACAGAATATTCTCGAGAATAGACCATATGCTGGGCAAAAAAGTGAGTCTCAATAAAATTTTAAAGTCATGCAAAATGTTTTCCTACCACAAAGGAGTGAAATTAGAACTTTCCACAAATATGTGGAAATTAAACTAGCACCTCTACGTAACTGGTGGGATAGACAAGGAATCGTAAGAGAGACTGAAACATATTTGAACTGAATGAAAACAAAACACAGTGTAACAAAATTTTTGGGATGTAGCTAAAGAAGTGATCAGACAGAAAATTGTAGCTTTAAATGCCTTTGTTAAAGAATGGTTTCAAATCAACTAAGTTTGTATCCTAAGAAAGTAAGAAAAAAAAAACCTAAAGCACAAAATAAGTCTAAACAAGGAAAATACATGCTCACAAAAAATGATCAAATAGAAAGCCACAAATGAATAGAGAAACCAATGAACCTAAAAGGTGTTTTTAAATAAGATCAACAAAATTGAGAAATCTAGCTAGAATGAACAAGAAAAAGAGGACAGAAATTACCAAATCAACAATAAGGGAACTTCGTTACTGACACCCCAGAAATTAAAAGGATTAGAAGAGAATATTATAAACTTTATGCCAATGATTAGACAACAAAGACAAAATAGAAGAATGACACAAATTACAAAAACCCAAGAAAAACAAGTTTCTGAATAGATAAAATAAGTAACAAGACAGATTCAGTAATTAAAAGTCACACAAAGATAAGTTCCTGTCTGATTGCCTTCATTGGTGGAGTCTAACAAATATTTAAAGAAACAATACAAATCTTCCACCGACTCTTTCAGTAAATGGGGAAGAGGGAGAGATGACTTCCCAACTCATTATATGCAGTCATTATTATCCTGATACCAAACCTAGATAAAGATATAACAAGGAACATAAAATACAGATCAATAAACTTCATGAATAGAAGAACATCCTTAACAAAATATTCTCAAACAAAATCCAGCAATAAGTCAAAAGGATTATACATTAAAGTGGTATTTACTCCAGAAAACAAAGTTTAATATATCAAAATCAGTTAATGAAATACAGCATATTAACAAAATAAATGGAAAAAAGACTATGACCACCTCAATAGAACCAGAGTGTATCTAAAAAAATCCCGTACTTATTCATAACACTCAACAAACTAGGAAATGAATGGGACTGCCTCAAACCCAATAAAAGGAATATAAAACCTATAGCCAGGAGGCGTTCAAGATGGTGGCATGAGCAGGGCGGCAGAAATCTCCTAACAAAACAATATATATTTGAAAATACAGCAAATACAACTATTCCTAAAAGAGACACCAGAAGATACAGTACAACAGCCAGGCTACATCTACATCTGCGAGAATTCAGCATCCCACAAAAAGGGTAAGAAACAAACCTGTGACCTGGTGGGACCTGAGCACTCTCCGCACCCCAGTTCACCAGTGGGAGGAAAACAATCAGAGTGGGGAGGGAGTGGAAGCACAGGAATGCTAAATAACCATCCCTAGTAATCTGCAACAAGAGCACAGACACATATTGCATGGTATACTGGATATTAGAGAAACAGAAAAGTAAAATCCAAGACAGAGACTGACAGTGGAACCTCACAGCCAGCTCCCGTGGGACAAAAGAAAACTGGGTACATTAAAAATATTATCCCAGCAGGCTGGGAATCTTAAGGAACTTCAGGCACCCTAAACCCCTGGGTAACAATGCAGCTCTGAAGCCCCTCACAG